CTCCTCTTTTCTTGTTGCACACGAATTATATGGCAGAATCACAAAGGATTATGAGAGGAAAAGGTGTAGGGCAAACTGACAGTCAATCCCCCTACGTTAGGAGCAATCGATGCTGGTCAGGGTTCCTTCGGCCGGATGGAAGGAAGTGTGAGAGTGTTCACCATGTATTCCAATTCTCGACTTGCCGGTGGATAGGAACCGGACTGACGCTCGCCAGAATGGATATGGACCCAGGACCATAATTGAAGGATTTGACTCCTCGCCTGTACTGTTAAAGGTCATGCCCGCCCTAAGTGAAGGCGGGCCTGCAAATCTGTGTCAAGGCCTGAGTAAAGGCCAGTGTGATCACACTGAAGGGGCCGTTGGAATCAATATGCGGGCATGAATCTTCGCAGTAGCCCTTCTAGGGCTCACCCCACATCTCGGCTGAGGCCCCGTACAGACTTGTGCCCGCCATAAGTGAAGGCGGCTCATCATATTTACAAGAGGCCTATTTTTGTCAAATTCTGCATGTGGGGTATCAGACAGTTGCAGCACGCCAGTTGGCTACAGAGTAACGTGAGCCTCTCCAGGCTCTTTCCGGAAGTTGCAGCCTTGACGGCCAGTTGAGCCCAGGGCCCCGTACAGTTAAGGCCCTGGGCTTGTGCATTCAGAGGCCGACACATCACACAACAGTCACGGACCAATGAGATTGCAGCATTGTTGGCACATACTGGCCATGATCCAATAAGATCACAGCGAACATGTGGAGGCCCGTGGACTGCCTGGATGTGCCCAACTTTTAAGGGCCCAGGCCCGTAACTGCAACTGGGCCTGGGCGCAGACATTGAGGCCTGACTGGAAGCTACAGGAAAGTCGTCCAGCCAGGCCCAGAGCTCGACAAGCAGAGCTCACTTTCCATATAGGAAAGTGAGTGTGGCAGCCAGACCCATTCTGGCCTAGGCAGGCAATGCGGCCACGCTGCTGCGTTGCAACTTCGTGATCTTCACGAAGCTGCTGGCTGGGTTCCACGCACGGGCGCTGAGGTGTGGGGTGCACTGCTGGGCAGTGGGTGCACCGCAGCCATAGCCGAGCTGCCGGGCGCAGGTCTGGATGGCGATGGTGGTCGTTGCGTGTCGGGGATGCACACTGTGGGGAAGTCAAGGGTGATGCGAGAGGAGAGAGAACGTACCTGGTGTATGCTGGCGGTCTGCAATGGTGATGACATCACGTACATTGGTCTTCAACTTCGATGTGATCCAGTTGCATGAACGTAGATAGGCATAGATAGGCTGAGTAGTGTAGGCTGGGCGCTGGGCTCCAGACAGTAGGAACAACATTGGATACTGTGTTAGTGTGACCAGAGAGCGTCGACATTGGCACACAAGTTCATTGTATTGCTCTTATTTGGCGCATTGTGCTCTCTGCTTGGTACATGACTATCTGGATACTTCGTGATTTTGTAATCTGGATTTCTGAGAAATATGAAGGAAAATAAATCTTGAGAAATATGAAATTTCAAATTTCAGAAATCTCATCAGAGGGGAGCGCCTGCGCCGGTTAGCGCAGGAAAAATAGCGCAGCGCTAATTTGCGCTAGCGCCTGGCGACGCCCTACGTGTTGACGCCAACCAATTCCCAGCCACCGCCGCCACCGCCCTCCCGCCCAGCCGCCCGCACGGAGCACCCGCCACTTTTCGAATTCGAAGCGGACCAGCGCCGCCCGCCATCGCCACGAGGGGGCCAGCCGCCCCGCGCAAGCGTGCGCCTGGCGCGCGCGCAAGAAGCCACCACCGCCAATCACTCGACATCGCCCACCATCGCAACGAGGGGGCTAGTCGCCCCACGCAAACGCGCGCCTGGTGCGTGTGCAAGTTGTCGCCATCGCCAAGTCTTCGTCAGCGCCCGGAAGAGAAGGGAAAAGACATCCGTCTCCCACACAAGCCACCCAGCTACCACATGCAAACAGTGCATGCAAGGACAGAGGAGAGCTCCCGAGCTCACCAGCGGCCACCGTCTCCGAACACTCGCATTCAACGAAGGCCAGCTTCGGAAGAGACGAAGGCCACTCCAGATCGCGACCTCCAGCGCCAACATCGCAAGGAGCCGCCGGCCACCAATCCAAGAGGAACAAGTCACTTTACGTGCGACGTCCAACAGTCGCCCAGCCGACGTCAGGCCAGGAGGCTGTAAAAGCCCCCAGCCAGGAGCTCACCGAAGGAGGATCCAGCACGAGCCAGCTGGCCACCCACCTCCTGCCTCTCGACGGATCGGACCCCAGTGAAGACACAGACGGTTATCGTGTCACTCAGTCGCTCGAACGTCGAGTGAAGTGCTTCGAACCCCGACTAACACCATTACCTCATCTCCTTACTCCTACGCCCCTCCTCTAACAAACCCCTCTCCCCCCCATCCCCCCCCTATCCCATCCCCCTCCCCCACGCCCAATCTCGCGACCAC